TACTCTCCAAATTCTTCTCTAACTGGCGAAGGTGATTGTAAAATTTGGTTCAGAGAATCCAAAGCAGTATGAATATTAATTGTTTACCATCAACAGTTCCCTATCACACATTTAAAATCACAGTGTTGGTTCTGCTTTGCGTTCCATTTGTCATTAAAATCGACAATTGAAATGCTGTTGCCCTGAAAAAATTTGCATACACTTAACTTGGCAGAATTGCGAGATTTCAACACACGTTGATGTCTTTTTAGACCGGATAATAATTTACCTCCCCAGTCAGAGTTTAGTTTCATGGATTATTCTTATTATCATTATCAGTTTATCACGATGATAATAATGATGATGATGATAATGATGATGATGATAGAGTAGCAGCGGGTTTGTGCGATAGGAGGGTCTGCGCGACAACCCTGTGGTATGAACCAATTTAAACATGCTAGAGCGTTCCCGCGTTTATCAACATCCGGCAGCACCCTTTCTTGTAGCACGAGATTATTTGCAGGTCGCTGTGGTTGCTTATTGCTCGTACACAGAGGCAAATTATTTCCAGGCTTGCTGATTACGTATTCTAACAGTGCATCGGCCTGTAGTTGTAAGGATGTCAATGCATTTTATGAAGATGTGTATACTAGCACTACACACAGAGCAGTGTGTTGTGCGTATAACATCAGTACTAAGCAAAGCATGGAGCCGCTCAGCCTCTCTGAGGGGATGGATGGGGGTTTGCGCGCAGTGTCGCCTTGGCGCTTGGTGAGGCGGGGTTTCGCGTCACAGACCTCTGCAGCGAGAACGGGGCAATATTATATTGCACCAAGGCCCACACCAGCCACCTGACACAGCCTCTGGACCAGGCGTTTTTCGGGGCCATTATTAAGCCAGCGTAGCAAGAGGGGGTAAGGAAGTTTGTGAGGACACCACGGAATTCGTCACACTGAGGACGTTTGCCGGCATCCTGAATTGAAGGCCTGGACAACAGTAGCTCGGCTAAAACGCCCATGAGGGGAGTCACCAAATCAGGGCTGTTTCCCTACAACCCTGACGTTGTCCTCACTAGTGACAAGCTGAACCCAGCTGCACCTTCACAGGGTCCCCTGCCCCTACCCTCAACTTGTCATCCACCTTGTCTGCCTCTGCCCCATCCGCTTCTTCTGCTTCTGTACCATCCATGACGTCACAAACTCGCCGTCACCGACTCAAGGAAATATTCTCCATGAACTTTAAGCTTGTGGAGGAGAAGGTGGACCTGTACCTCAAAAGGTATGACAATGGATACGATCTCAAGATCGATCCCGACTACAACATGTGGTCCAGCTCCTCCGCTCCCCCAGCCATCAGCAAGAGCCCTGGAACCTCAGCACCCCTCCGGGGAGATGACTATCGACAAGGTGCTCACTTTTCCGTCCTGTTCAAAGAACAAGGTCGTTAGAAGGCCCCAGCCAACAGTGCCCCGGTCCATCAGTGGAAAAATGACTAGAAAGAGATGATACTCACGAAGAAGAGGAAGGCAGAAGAAGAACAACAGCAGAAGGAAGAGAGAAAGAAGCAAAGGGAGCAGAGACAGATGGAACAGCTAGCCCAAGCTGAAGACAAGAAGGAACGCCAAAAAGAGAAGAAAAAACAAAGGGAGCAGGCAAAGAAGGAGAAAGAGGAGGAGAAGAAAAGCAGAATTCAAGAGAAGAAGATGAATGCTTTGGTTGTGGCCTCACATAAGAAGAAAGAGGATGAAGATTCCTCTGACTCAGGTGAAGAGCCGGTGTATGACGACAGCTCCGACACTTGTGGGGACATTACGGTCGACTGTGCTGGGTGTGGAGCCACCATCGCAGGATAAGTAGTGCTCACCCAGTGCATGCTTTGTGACAAGTCGTGGCTCACCAACAGTGTCAAACAGATGGACCTGAAGGACAAGACTCAGGAAGACCTGGTTGCCATGGACATCGAGCTCTTTTGCTGTGCTGACTAATCTCTCCTTCCCAATTTGTTTCATACAAATAGTGTAAACAATATATTCGTTTATCCATGTGCAATTAGATCCATATGTCTCTACTTTGCTGTTCTTATATAATTTAATTCATGGTTTTCAGAGTTATCTAGACTCACTAATAGATTACTGTTTCCATTGTAAGTGTTGGCTTCAGTTATTTTTTGTTTTCTTTCTCTTTTGGCTATGCATAAAAACTGAGTGTCTTTTGTAACTCTTAACTCTTGTGCAATTTGTAAGAATATATCCTGCTTTATGGTTAGAAAATCATACGTTAGCCTATAAGATTCATAATAAGAAGTTATTTGGGCATGTTGCAAGACCCGCCCTATACTAACGCGCAGCCCCTCAATAAAACGCGCCACCCTCAAGCAGGAACGCGCACCCCCGCTCATTGTCGCACACACCCGCCTTCATTTTGCCTCACAAATACCACAACTGAGGGAAACAGGCAAACAAAGCAGGCCAAGCGCGCTGGGCCGACGATAGCAGACGAAATCTGCTTCTCATCAGTTATTGTGCGGTTACCTCCCCTTTCACCGGGGACTCGCAAAGTCACTTTTTATGCTTAGGGTAGCGCAGACTACCTCCTCTACTCTAATGATGATGATGATGTTTAATTTATTCTAGCAAAACCGTTACTGACTGTCTCAGTACCTGTCGTACTGGGAAGCAGACAAGGGGGTAAGGGGAATCCCCATCAAAATATTCTATGGGCATCACAGGAAGGACGCTGAGCAGACACACCAGTATTTTCTCTGGTATCACAAGACCCAGGAACGGAGCCCATCTGAAATGAGCAAAACAAAAGACAAACATATGATATTTTGTCACCTAGTTATAGATTAATAATGTTGCTACTCAGTCAGATTGGCTTTTGTTCTCAGTAAAAAGGAGAAAGAACAAGTTTTGACTTTGTGCGTCAGTCTATTTGTTTCATTATTATGGTTGTCTACTGGAGTGTACACCTTTCTAAGTCTCGCTGTTTGAGTGTGTGTGTGTGTGTGTGTGTGTGTGTGTGTGTGTGTGTGTGTGTGTGTGTGTGTGTGTGTGTGTGTGTGTGTATGTGTGCGTGTGCCT